TTCTTACATCAAATTCTATATGGTTGCAAACTGCAAAACCAGTTCTACTGTAGGCTATACTGCTTACTGCCTACTAAATACACAATTGAATATGCCACTACCAGCAGACTATTCACACGGAAGTCAAGTAAAGCAATACATTATCTCCTCATCACATGACTGTGCCATTCACAACGTTTGAGGACTACGATGACATATCACACTGACATAACACTAACTGTGGTAGTTATATGACCAGTGTTTCCGCCAGACCAGGGCTGAGAGGGCGTCCACCCGGGAGAGAGTCACGTGACTTGAATTGAGCCATCCCTTATAGTAGATAATATCCCTTTACGTTGATGGGAATTACGGCTCTTTTTAGTGAGCCGGATCATTTGGCTCGGCGCACTAACAAGAAGAGCCGGCTCTTTTTACCACAGTTTACCACGGAGCCTCAGTTTCGCCGCTGCGAGGCTCCGGCACTCGCAGTTCACGCGCGCATCCTCCACCGCTCATCGTGTCCAAATCGTGCACGTTCCATTGTTGTCTGAGCTGAATAAGGCCGTCAAATGACGGCAAGACGCCCCCCTGGCGGAAACACTGTATATGACCAAAAGCACTTCAATAAAGTTCATAATGCTTTACAACAGTAATCACGACACATTAAAAAGCATTTTAAATTGACTTAGTAAGATCAAGTACCATATAACATCAGAATGGCTCACTGACATTTATTTTTGTGCAAGGATCAGAAATTGACCAATTATATACAGTTGCAGTAATTGAAATGAGAAATTATTCAGGGTGATCTCCATTTTTAGTCAATTGTTTAAATTTTTCTTAGGGGAATGTAAACAATTGTGAAATGTAAATGTCCATCATTGTTTATCATGAAAATCTTTTTTCTGGAGTTGAATAAATAGATTATTTTTAATAAGCTCTGTGTGATTTTCAGCTTTAAACCAAACAATGACCTCCTATGGTTACATCCAGTGTTTAATGTTTTAAATCTGCCTAAATAAAGCATTATAATTAATTAGAACATTCATTATAACGCTTCAGCTCCTGCCTTTTTTCACACACAGGTAGTGTACAGCTTATTTAAGCTTGTGAGCTGGCAGCTACCCATTATATTTATGCAGGGGCTGGTGAGAGCCGTTAGACCTCAACCAGATGGACCAGTGAACCAAAATAATGAGCTGACGGTGGCTGAGGGCTGCATGGAGCTGCAGACTCTGGCAGTGCTTTTCAGAGGTGTTGGCAGTGCAAGTCATCTTTTCACCTTACTGGGAGCCATTCGATTCAAAGTTAATATCAGAATGTCACATAATAGTGATGAACGTTTTCCAGCTGGCTAGTTTGAAGTGTTACGTCACAGAACAGCCGCACCAGCTTTAATAACCACCGTGCAGCAAATGGAAACATGTTTTTGAAATAAAACGTTACTGTACATGCATTTGCTTTTTATACATTTAGTATGCTAATAACATGTGTGGTGCATAATTGTTTCATTAAAAAAGGTCACTTTACATACAGACATGGTACTTTTGTAACCAATTCTGGAGCATACTGCCATTTGTACAAGTTACATTGATAGGAAAAAGGAAAGCTACATTTTACACACTTAAGATATGGAAGTATCTAAGAAGTATGTCTGACAACTAAACGAAAATTGCAACACAATAAGCAGATGTAAATGTGATCCCTTACAAAGTGTATTTTTCAAAAGCTTTCAAATGAAACATCTGGTGGCTGGCCCAAAAGGAATTGTGAGACAGCAAATGGAGGTTTAATTGATCAAACGTGTAGGTGACAGAAAAACACTTATAGCAATGGAGGAAATGCTACTTTAACAACAGCTAAAAGGTGCTTCTTGGTGCAGTTCTTTTACAGAATTGTGCACACCTTAAGTGCAACAGCACAACAGTTTCATGCCTGAATGGTGCTGAATCCTCTCCTGAGGCATACCAGACATGTTAGTATTGATCAGGTTATTTCTCTTTAAAAGAAGAAATACAATCACGTAAATTGTTTTTCTCTGCCACTGCGAATTACACTGTTACATTTACAGCTACAGGAAGTGTTAGAACTGATATAGAAATACCCATTTTGAAATCGAACTCTTTAATGTTAAAATAGACAACAAATAGTTTCATTCTGTGTGAAAGATATTCTCTAATATGGAACACAAGCGCAATATGTTTTCTGGCCCCGTTTATGTTTTGTTTTATAGACCTATTTGTCTTTGGCTTTAGGACTCTAGTGCAAAGAGGTTGCTGCAATATTGTTTAGCAGAACCACTTTTCAAAATTGGCAAGTCCGTTGGCAGAGAGCTGCAGAATCTCAGCAGAGCTCTTAAGTCAAGAATGTAGCGCTCTGCAGAAGGAAGCGTGGACGCTTCTTCATCCCATTTTATACATTTCTAGCTAGTTAGTAAGTTTCATAATAAAAAAAAATTCTCTGAAAATAATGTAATGTAATAGGATCTAGCTTTACTGTATACAAAGAAAGGTACATGTATACATAGTATAATGCTTATACAGAAACGTTATCTAGACTAGGTCCATCAGCATTCAAACACCAAGCAGCAAGGCCTGCCAGACCATCATGTCATTTCAGTGTTTGTTTTCACAAGCAAATCAACAATGCACTTGTTTGAAGAAGTTAATGGAAAGTATGGAAAATAAACACAATATTATATAGAGGGATCTGCCACAGCTGATAGTGAACTTTCTAAAATGTGCCAATTTACTCTACAATGCTAAAATATAACTTTATTTTAAGGTTATTTGATGCTTCTACTCAACCATAATTCAGAAGCAAAAATGTTTTGCTCTACTACAGCTTCATATTAGGATTAATATTGCAAGATATTGTCCACAAATCATCTATCATGAATGTTTTAAAGGTTAAGATAAACTTTGCACAGCAGTAAAAAAAATAGCTGCAACATTAAAATGAAGACAACAGTGATTATGTGTTATGAAATGGGCCATTATGCATAGTGACCAAAGTTACTTTTACTTTTTGTAAGTGCATTTTGACGTTATTTGAAGGGCATTTAGATGTCACAGAGTCACTTACAGTATTTACAATGCGATATGACTACTTTTACTTAAAGAGGAAATAATGTTATAGTAATATTGAACTTAATTTAATATAGTTTTAGCGTCATGTCGAACTACGTCATATACTACATTAACTGTCGGGCTGTTAGCATGCAGACACTTACTTTTAGCCGAGAAGCTAGTTGCTGTGCCTTTCCGAAGAGGGTTCCTGGTGCGATATTGCCGGTTGCCGTTTCAGGAGCTTTGTTATCCAGCAGCGTCCTTCTGGATACTTTGTAAAATAATTCCATCATGATAAATCTAACATTAAATGTATTTTTTTAAACCATTGTTCCGTGTTGAAAACAGTTATAGCTGTTATTAACTTTAGCTGTCTATTAGCAACTACGGATTTCGATGATTGAGTCTGTCGACCAATCACAGCAGTCTGTGTTTCCGACTTTTTGACCAATCACAGGCTGCAGTCCTGATTGTGTGAAAGCTCTCAAAAGAGGTTTCTCAATACTCTAATTTCCCCTCCTCGACTCCTCGGTCCTCCGGTAGTGACCCGGAAATGGATTTCAGCGCGCCATGTTGAAGGAAGGAGCTCTGGAGGAGCTCTAACCGAGGAGACACTGATGGGTCCTCCACGGCTCCTCCGCGGATGCATTTCCGGGAACGGTGTAGGCGTCACGCACGGCCGGACTTATCTCAGCCAATGACAGCTCTGCATGCATCCCCTGGATATATCCAGTCTCTGATTGTGTTACGTTATTATGAGAGTGCTGTCATACTTATTTGATTCTGAAATTGTATATATTTATATAAATATATGTGTGTGTATACAGTATGTCCGCATATGTAGCCTGTTATTGTCTCATTATACCGCACTGTCAATGTCAGTCCTCCGCTCGCATCTCCTGTGGGCGGCACTAAGTCTTGAGGATAGGAGTCGAGGAGAGGAGTCGAGGAGGGGACATTTGAGTATTGAGAAACCTCTAAAGTGTTGCCCAATGGAAAATAAAAAACTTGATAATAAAAAAATAACTTTATTTGAGAGTACTATATAATATAACTTCTATATCTTAAGAGAATATCGCCCTGATTTAGCACTTCAACTTGCTCTTAATGTTTCATACATCTCCCTTTGGTGCCATGAAAGGCTCAAACAGCACTGTTTTTACAGCACAGCGCTGTATGAGTAACTTTGATGAGTACAATTTGAGGATGTGTGAAGATGTTTGGCCATTTCCTGAATACTACATCTCTGTATGCATGTAATTTCTAGTTTAGATAAAACCTACTTACTGTTTCCTTCAGAAGGCCATGAGGCTGTCACCTGCTATACCACTTTTCCCTCAAGCATCATGTGCAATAATGCCTTTTCAATTTCAGAATTATTTCTTCTTTGCGTCATTTTAATTAAAACACTTCCAAAGTATTTTCAACTCAAAGGTGATATAACAACCTTTGCTTGGCTTGTTGCTCAATATACAGTTTATATGTTTCTCTTATGCCCTTTCTTCCCCAAAACTCTCTAAATCGCATATTCCCCTTGCACTGATAATTTATGAAGTTTTCAGTGAAACCGTCCAGAAGGTTTTGTTTCTGTTCTTGGCTTTTTATATTCATGTGCCTGTGTGTGCATGTGGACATGGACATTTTGAATTTGCCTCACGCTTCATTGCAGCCTTTCGTCATGTCATTGTTTTACTCCGAAACCTTTTATGAGGCTCAGATTGTTTGGGGATTTGGAGACCATCAGCACAATTGACAAAGGCATAATTAATGTTTTTCTATTTTCTCCACTCTCGTGGTTAGTTTGCAGTCTTAAAAAAAGGTTTGGATGCACTGAATCTGTACGTCTCAGCAGATTACACATAATTCATAAAGGGAGGTTTAGCATTCTAAATTAAACAAAGCTCTTGAAAAATGAACAGATTTACAGACAAACAAACAGTAAGTAAATTCCCATTTATTTTTACATTTCAAAATGATTCCATTGAAAAACTTGTTTTATGCTGCACATTTAATCTTAAGAAGCAGGCAAGAGGGACAGATAAAAGGGAAATGTGACATCAACTAGAATTTATAGTGCATTAATCATAATGTGAATAACAGATTTGTTTATGTAAAATTAGATACAGAAATGTGTGGCTGGGGTTTGCAGCAGGCATATTGACAACAAAATCACATTAACCTTCAGATGTGAAATATGGATGATACTAGATGAAGGTCACAAAGATAAGGGGTACAAAATGTTTATAAGCTTTGACAATGTGCAGGAGAGTGGAACTCTATTGGGTGAGAGCCTAATCCAGAGTCACCTTATTCTATGGGTAGGAAAGGAGGAGTAGAAGTCCTCTGCAAAGGCTTCTGCTGGTCACTTGAAACACAGGCTTATGGCTATAAAACAGCACACAGGTTTTGTGGAGAGGTCTACACTTGCTGGATTTTCCTGGGCAGCCATTTGAACAGGGTCTTGCAAAGCTTTTTGCTTCTCACCTTTGACTTTGTTAAGTTCTTAATGATGACATTTCTGAGCAGGCTGAAGTTCAGGGGAGGGGAGGAGTGCGCGTTGAAAGCATTATTTCCTTTTGTCGAAAGGTTCAGAACTTCCAAGAAGCGTCTTTCCTGCTGCCTGAAGTCATACTCCACACTGGACAGACACAGATGCAGCCCAAAATTACTAAAACCCCCCAAAACAGAGGCTTGAAAACAACACAAAATGTATCTGCTCTTGCAAAAGAATGCATATGAATGCTCAGATTTGTCAAATCTATATTTCCAGCTTTTTTTTTCTATTATGTATCAAGCTTTAGTATTTACGGCTCACTTTGTGGGACTCGTGTGGGAGGATCTGCGCTTGTCAGATTTCAAAATGGGTGATGGGTTCAGGCAGGAAGGCATCCCCCAGCAGGGTGTCCTTTGTGTTTGAAGGTGCACACATTTTGTTCAAATTGCCTTATCTTCCATTTGGCCTTTAAGGACCAGATGGCAACACACAGCAGTCAGCAGATCAACTTATGTAATGTGTTTTTGTCATGCAAAAGCAGTTTTGGGAGTAAGTAGATCAGGAGGGATGTGTTGAATATTTCAAGATAAAGACCATTTTAGGTCTCGCTTTGTAGAGTGTGAGGTATTTTGTTTTCAGAAGATGATGGGAAGACTTAGATTTCCATAGCCGCCTTTCAAATACAGTATTTCTGGGACAATGCTCTGTAATGTTTTTTGTCTCAACTGATGCAACATTTCCACTAATGGGTGCAAACCAGCATCAAAGTTAGAATATGAGGGCTAAAAACTATTGCATGATATGTTTTCATGCATCACATCTTTAACAAAATGGACAAGGTATATATAAACGTCTGTCATTAGCTTTTTTTATAGGGTTAGTAAAACAAAAGGACATTTTAACATTATTAAATAATTGCTGCAGGATGTGAATACAATACTTTTCAAGATAAGGCTACTTTAGATAAATAGAGAGCTAAAATAAAATATGTATTTACATTTTTACACAATATAAAATGTTATGCAAATTAACAATGCCTTCATATCTTAAGTGAAGTGATCTTTGTAAATATTTGTTTAAAGTGCAAGCTGCTTTGGCATGACTTGTCCCTTTTTGCTAGTTTAAATTTCAGAGAGTGAATCCTTATCTCCATAAATCTGGATTGTGAATAGCTGGAGTCACATACGGTCAGTGTTTTAATTTGACAGTGTTCCGAAAAGGTTTATGATATGCCCAGAGGGGAAAAGTAATCTCCCTATGTATTCTGAGCGATGAAACAAATGAGCAGTACAGAGCTTTTCATTTAGTAAGCTGCCCATACAGTTAGTCATTCATTTTAAGTGAGGAGAAGTGGGCAGTCTGACAGAGAAGTGCTCGGTAACTGAAATGGCAAATGGCCTCGGCCTTGTTGAACCATGCCTTGAACACAAATGAACTTTGAATAAAACCCATCATTTTAAGTTGCCCTTTGATAGAAGTAAGGCGGGGTCACTCTGTTTTTACAGAGGGACATTCTTAAATATTGATTTATTTTTTGGGAGTATCCTTGTACAAATATCTCAAAAGAGATTGTTTCCGGCCCAACATTATTTTCTTGATCTTAATAAAGGTTGACTGGTCATAATCAACGCCAAGGCATAACACAATATCTTACTATATATTCATAATTTTTTGCAACTATAGTTCTATTTTGGGCAAGAAACCTAATTTCTAGAGCTGCTCTTATCAGTTCAAACACTGCATGCAAGCAAAATGGTCATTTAACTATTATCTCACCTGTACACAATACAAGCAGTCTTCTGGCAGGTTAAGCAGTTGTTGAGGTCCTGTCCAGTGTTGAAGCAATGCCGACTAGGATAAAAGAAAGTAAACATAATTTCATACAATGAATAAGAGAAAACTCCCCCATTCCTTCAGATTCACAGCTTATTATTCTCACCACTCATCCTGTGTGTGTGATATTCTTCCAGACTGATGTTGGCAGCGATGGGCCGTATAACATGCATTATGTCAGACATCAGTTGGTTATTAGGAGCTGGTTATTCTGAAACATGACCTCGGAGGCAGTCACAACCTATTAGCAAACTACAGTGGATGAGAATGATTGACATAGACCCTTTAACTGCCAGCAACACCATTTGGTAGAGCACATTTCGCGTCTTGATATATTGTTGAAAAAAAAAAAAGAAAGTTGAACTCCATCTGATTCAGCCAGCTCTACCCTTTGGTTGACATGTTATGCACAAAACAACCTCTAGATGTCACTGTGCTTCAAACAGAATGCCCTTCAGCTAGAAAGTTGGCAATGCTAAAAATCACTGCTGAAGAAATCACTCTTTTTGGTCAACTTTTGTAAGGTAACCATATCATTTTTGACATATTTTAGTGGCAGGGCACTGACTGAACATAATTAGATAACTTGATGCACAAAAAAAGTTTTAACAAGGGTGTAGTAAAATTCAACGGGAAACTATCTTCATTCCGCCCCAGTGAGACAAAAATGTCTCCCTGTAAGAATTTATAACTAAATAAAAAACCCTCATAGGAACATGTTTATAGAGTTTTCTCTAACAAAGGCCGGGTTGTAATAAAAGAACTAGAATTATTTCCAACTGACCAGTATTAGTTGCGGTTCCGTATTGTGTTATAGAATGATATATAAGTATTAAAAAACGTTGATATCAAGATAAAACCCGTTCTTTGGATTAAAGATCTCGACGAGAATAGTCAAGTTTGTGACGTACGTTCGTTTTACCAGTAAATTGATAATAGAGTGGACATGTGTTATGTTCGTCAGAAGACCGTCCAATTCGTCAACAACTCCAGGACAGGTCACAACTTCGTTACGGCTGATCCTATTTTCTTTCATTTGTATTAAAGTATGTTACTTATTCTCTTTTGAGGGGGTAAGGAAGTCTAAGTGTCGAATAATAAGAGTGGTGAGTAGGACACACACACTATAAGAAGGTCTGACTACAACCGTCGCTACCCGGCATATTGTACGTAATACAGTCTGTAGTCAACCAATAATCCTCGACCAATAAGACTTTGTACTGGAGCCTCCGTCAGTGTTGGATAATCGTTTGATGTCACCTACTCTTACTAACTGTATCTGGGAAATTGACGGTCGTTGTGGTAAACCATCTCGTGTAAAGCGCAGAACTATATAACAACTTTTTTTTTTTTCTTTCAACTTGAGGTAGACTAAGTCGGTCGAGATGGGAAACCAACTGTACAATACGTGTTTTGTTGGAGATCTACAGTGACACGAAGTTTGTCTTACGGGAAGTCGATCTTTCAACCGTTACGATTTTTAGTGACGACTTCTTTAGTGAGAAAAACCAGTTGAAAACATTCCATTGGTATAGTAAAAACTGTATAAAATCACCGTCCCGTGACTGACTTGTATTAATCTATTGAACTACGTGTTTTTTTCAAAATTGTTCCCACATCATTTAATAATTTTTTTTTTTACGAGTGGGTTAGCCAGCTTAACCGGAAAATACCTATACCTGAAAAAGTCCTCAACAGTCTCTACAAAAGGTTATTTTTAATACCATTTCATTTACCGGATCTAAGTTACGCATAAATAACGGATTTGGATCGATGACGGGAATAACTCAGATACTCACTTTCTTACTATTATTAAATAATATCGTGGAAAGTACGTTACCGTAAAGTCGGGTTTTTAAAGTGTGTCCTACTCGTTCGAAATCCGCGGTTGTGTCTAAATACATGTACACGACAAAATCCCCGGTCACCAAAGGCAACACCAGGTTAAGTCGTCATATGCGATCTCTCGTTCAGAAAAAAAAATAGGTTTTTCTGTGGAACGAGCTCAAAGAATTGCACATATAACGACTTAACTCCGGATTGTCCTTTGGTGACCGGATTTGTCGCGTGTACAGGTATAGGACACAAACCCGGGATTGAACGAGTAGACAAACACTTAAAAACCGACAATACGGTACGTACACTTTCACACGATATATTTAATGAATAGTAGTAGAAAGTGAGACTCTGAGTATTTAACCGTCATGAATCCAAATCGTTATAATGGTACTTAGATCGGTAAATAAATGGTATAAAATAACCTATTTGTAGACGCGTCTTTGAGAAACTTTTTCCAGTATGCGTATTTCCGGTTACAGCTGGCTAACCAACTCGTAAACAAAAAAAATATATTAATGA